AATTTACAAAAACAAAAACAAAGGATAATTTCAATGTCATTGATGCGTAAATCCTGATGACGCACGTAGACCAGACATTCTAGACTTGCGTTTCAGTTTCTCACAAATTTCAAAATTCCAGACTGATGATGTCGGTCGCTTATGATTCTTAGTGACTATCACAATATCCTAAGCGTAGCAGGTCTACTAAAGGGCAAATATGGTCATAGAATGGTCGATACCAAACATTTAATCGAGAGAGTTTGCATTGATCTTCACACCGCTATATGTTGGATGAAGGCAGGAATTTCCCGAACTCCAAGCAGACAATCGAATTTCAATTGATAATCTAATCAAACCATATCCCAATGGGAATGATTTGTCTACTCATCGTGTTTTCTTGTTGGCTTAATTTACATGATTATATTTTATTTATTCATTCTAAGTTCAAATTTCTTTGAACTGAAACCAATTTGATTGAAAAATATAGAAATGGTAAAATGTCATCAGAATCGGCCCACAAAATATGAATGCGTTTAAGTTTCAAAAGGATATAAGGAAGTATCTTCAAATCAGTGATACAAGCACTGTAATCTATGTATAGTTCTTCCAAGTTTCTTAAAGCACCAATGTTGATAGTGAAACCTTTTACTGAAGCCAATTGATCAATATCTTCTTAATAGACGCAATTGGTGTGAACATGCAGTTTCTTATAAAATCCAGACTCTTGGAGCTCATTTAGCAAGCGGCATAATGAATCAAATTGAGCTTCATGCTTTTCATATTTAATTGCCAATGTATCAAGTTTGATGTTTGAACTTTTGAACAACTCTCCATTTAACCAAAAGAAATACGCATCAACAGAATATTGCTTAATGTTGGTATTTAGTTCAAGGAATGTTTTTAATCTTGGTGATTCTCCAATCCCCCTCATTGCAAAATGTTCCAATGTTGGATAGATTCGATGCATCCATTGGCTTTCCTTTTCTAGTAAAGTTACTAACTTCACCAATAAAAATTGGGCATTGGATTATCTATCGTTACTCTTTCAGCTTTACTTAAAATTCATTTCATTTCTTTAATCTGAGCTTTTCTTGAACGAACATAATCATGATAACAACCAATTTTGTATCGTTTTATTGATGTTGAATCTTTCAAGCTCAAAAAAAGCTTCATTGTCACATTATGTGAATAAGTCTTCACTCTTCTAAAAAAAAAAATCAATATTTGAATTCTTATGGAAAATTGAATGACATGATAAATGGCAATTCGAGCAATAATCAACAAGTGTAATTACCAAAATTAAAAGTTCCGCAATTCAATGGTGAGGCAAAAAATTGGCGCGCGTTCAAAAGTTTGTTCGATAAAATTATACACAATAACAGATCAATTACAACGGACTTAAAGATTCAATATCTTAAAACGAATTTAACGGGTGAAGCGTCAAAACTTGTCGAACATTTGCCAGTCACAGAAGCAAGTTATTTAACGTGTTACGAGTTATTAACCAATCGTTATGAAAATAAACGCGAAATCGTTTCCAATTTAATAGATGAAATTTTGAATATTCCATATCAGAAAAGTGAAACAAGTGAGGGATTGAAAATAATCCATGATAAAACGTATGAATGCCTTATGTCAATAGAGAGCATAGGCGTAAGTGTTGAAAACTGGGATGTGTTACTGATCCAAATTTTATTGAAAAAATTGGACAGGAAAACCATCATGGACTATGAAAGCAGACTTTGAAATATTTCTTAAAATACGTGGAAAACCGTTTTTTGGCTCTTATGTCGGCAGAATCGAAAGTTCAACGTTTTGATAAAAGTGAAAAAAATGACAGGAAATTAGAAAAAACGTCGAAAGGGGCAACGGTTGTTCATATTGCGACACAATGTAAAAAAACAATACGTTGTTGCACTTTGATATCAAAAATACAGCGTTGGTAGCAACCACGTCAATGACCGAACAAGTGTACGAAAATGCTGAGGTGTCAAATGTGAGTACATTGCTCGCAACGCGAATAGATGAAAACTTATTAGCTACGGTCATAACTAGAGTGTTTGATTTCAATGGGCAAAAAATAAGATTGAAAGGAGTTGTTGATAATGGATCACAGTCAGCAATGGTGACAGAGCACGCACGACAAATTTTAAATTTAAAAACCGAAATTATTTGTGTTGCCATTGATGGTGTGGATGGCTGTGAATCGGTTTCGAAAAAAATTGTACGATTAAAAATGCAGCCACATTTCAGTTCTGATTTTGTGTAAGAAACAGAAGCATTGGTCATGAAAAAAATTACACGTTTGAATTATTTTAAAGATGATTTGAAGAATTTTGAATATTTACATAATGACGACGGTGAAATTGATTTTTTGTTGGGAGTCGCTGAATTTGGTTGGATTTTGAAAAATGGACTCATAAAAGGACCAACAAAATGTTCAAATATGCAAAGTCTCGCAGAACAGATCCCAAAGATTTTTAAAATGTATTATTATTCATCAAAAATTGCAAACTAATTTCAAATAAAAGTGATAACGTGATTATTTAAGCGATGAGCGACAAAATTTCATTTGATAAAAGTCTTGATTTCAAATAAATTTATTTATTTATTGAGTATTTTTATTCAAGTAAAAAAATTAAGTACCCTGAAAGCACAACTAAACAATTATGTGATTAGTGAACATCTGGTTAAGGTCTGCACTTTCACAAAAACACGATTTTCAGAATATAATTCGTTGACGAAAAGAAATCTTCTTACTTTTGATTTGATTTTTTTGCTGCGCTTGTTTAGCACTAAATAGTGTCGATATCTACACTATATCGGTCCACTATATGGAAGATATTGTGGCAAGGCACCGTATCGCCCGATCGAAGTGAGTGCAGACGGCAAAAATCACAAGTTGCCGTGCGGCAGTGGAAAGAACTGTCAACATGTTTGCCGTCCGCACTCACTTCGATCGTGAGTTACGGTGTCTTGCGGAAATATCTTCCATATATAGTGCGCCGATATAGTAAAGATATCGATACTATTTAGTGCTATTTCTATATGTTATGGACACACTGTAAAATTCTGAAAAATTGTAAATTATTTGTTTCCTTTTTGTCTGAAATCTCCATGGGGCGAACCACGCTAGTGAATACTAGAAAAACTAGTAAATCTAGTGCGAAGAATGACGCCATAAAAGAAGCCAACTTCACACCAAAAGCCATATAATTAATAGGAAAAACCGATGGGAACTAGTATCGTATTTTTCCCATACAAATTAATTTTATCGATTCTACGAATACGACATCTGTTAAAAAAGATACCGACACAGCTCGAGCGAACTATATGGCTATATGGCTGTATTAAAGACGAACTAACACAAAAGAACACACAGACTCCGATCCTGTGTATGCGTATGTATTGTAAATTTTGCACAAGCAGCTACGATTGACGACTGAGTGCAGAATTTGTAATACATACGCAAACACAGAATCGGAGTCAGTGTGTTCCTTTGTACGTTTACACGAGCTGTATTAAAACACCACTAGTAACAGAAATCGGCGAGTTTTTTAGTAGATGTCGTATTGGTGGAATCGATAAAGAAAAATCTACGGTATTAGCGCTCATTGGGAAAAACTACTGTGAGCCAACTTCACGCACTAGAATTTCTAGTTTTTCTAGTGAAATCTGATCAAAAACTAGCTGCGCTAGAATTTCGTGATTGACCCCATGAAAACCTCAATTGAGCTATTTGAGTAAAATTTTTGCTCTGAACCCCTCATATTATCAACTGACTTGGTTCGATTTTTTTCAATATGTATACTTGCAGGAGTTTCATTTTAATTTGTTAGATTGATGTGAATTATCGACGACATTCAAGCAAGAAAAAAAAACGACTTACGCAACGTAGACAGCAAAACAACAGATCACCAAGTAACAAAACATCAGCATCTAAATTGTGACTGGCTAAACAACATATTAAAATGAATCAAAATATAGCGATATTTTTTTTATTCAGACTTCATGTTACAAAAAGTTAATATGCAAGTGAAAAGAGAGAGAAAGGGAGAGGGAGAGAGTTTAAAAAAAATGAACAGAAAATTACCTAAAAATTACAAGTTTAGAATGACATGTATAGAAAAAAGAGTTTACTTAAAAAATAGTTAGTTTTGGTTAACTAAGAGTGTAAGGTTAAAAAATAACAATTTTGAATGCATTAAAAATCAATGGAATATTCAATTTTTATATTTTTTTATTTGATAACCTTCCACTCTGCGTTTATCTGGGCTTGTGACCAGCATTAAATTATAAATCCACAATTTAATGGCCGCATTAAACGGTTCTTTTTATTTCAACGCCAAATACAATAACATTTATCATAACCAATGAAACACAATACGATCGATAACTATCGATAATGCACATTTCTTTAAATTTATTACCCAACTGAGAAGAAATGGTAAGCTCTAGTCTGTTTTTATTTCCAAAGCCATTGTTAGCTTGAACAAAATCCATTGTTTACGTCTTTCTATACTTTTTTGTAAAATAGAAATACCAGAATATGAACGTCGAAGGCATTCCATGTATAAACCGAACGTCGATGATCAAAGCAGTAATTTTGAGGATTTTCAAATCATTTGAACTCAAATATGACAACCTTGACACACGATCAAGTGAATTTCACTTTCAATGTTATTATCAACAGTCTCCTTTCCATTCGAACTTATATATTGTATACCAATATAGGATTAATGATAGAAACAAGAAATTGATACGTTCATGTTGAAAATCATGCAAGAATTCCCCTTGGCAACGACAAAAATAAAACTCTGGTTTTTTGCTCATTAAAATACAACACACACAGATACTATGCCATTTTCTCTCTTTAACGTTCCCGTTGCCTTCATGCATGGACCAAATGGTGATAACGCTATCTCAATTTTAACAACAGCCAGCAATTTTACATACACATTTTAAATCGAAACTGAAAAACCGAATAAAATAAGATTGAAAATCAAAAAAAATGTATATTCCATTGAGAACAGAAGCATTTTTATTGCGAATGAGATGTGTACAATTTGCTAAATTCAGAGAAATTTCTGATTTTTTATAATTTTATAGATCGTGTTCTCTATATGAATGGATTTTTGCATTTCAGTGAAATAAATTTAAAATATTTAATATGTATTCTTATTTACTTTTGTGATAATGAAATTAAAATATTTAGTTATTTTATTATTTTTCTGTTTCGAAGTACGAACTGCACTTTCTGATCTGGAGCAACAACTGTTCAGCGCCTCATTTGAAGGTAATTTTCAAATATTTCGAACAAATAATCGAATTAATTTTGCTGTAACAAAATTTAATACGATGTTTTGTTTCTCTTTTGATAGAGTTGAATGCGTTAGTGTTGGAAAACAAACGAGGAGTAAACGACTGCTACCCTTTAATTTGCACTTTAAAGTTTTTGTTCGCTCCGAGCTTTCCAGGTTGAGACCAATATTCTACGCCGCTAGTGGCTGACTTTCAGTGATCATCTTCTCTTGCCACTTGATTGAATTGCGGAAATAGAATCATGTTAGTCCAAATCTACCCCACCTGTTTTTTTTAAATACATAAATTTTAATTTCATGCATATTTTTTTAGGTATAGTGTAAGTTGAACCCTCACCTTCTGCATTAACATTTGCTCCATTTTCGATTCGACATTTGATTGCTTTTGTGTCATTTACCATATCAATCGACACATCAATTGATGGTAAATGAATCCACAATGGATGATAATGTTCTGGATTCTCACAGTTGACTAATCGCTCGATGCGGAACGGTTTCAACGACGAAAGCATGTATATGATGTTTTCACACATCATTTTACATCAATGTCATACGGACTATTCATTGGCCCATGAATACCGTAATCAACCGTCGATGCGTTTAAACTTGATACGAAAATTCAGCACGTTTAACAATCAAAACGTCGAATCTACTTTTGATGACCTAAAATGATGAAATAAAAGAACATTCGTAAGTCACAAAAAATGTAAAATGACTTCTGAAATTCCACATCTACACCGATTTTGGACATCAGTGTGGAAAAGTTAATCTTTTATACGTAATATTTATGATAAAAATTCAGAAAAAGTACCTCGGTCAAGAGCAATGTATAGCTGTTTGTCCAGATCAGAAAGTGCAGTTCTCACTTCGAGACAGAAAAATAATAAAATAAATAAATATTTCACTTTCATTATCAAAATAGCAAATTAGAATAAAATTAACTATTTTCTATTTATTATGAATGTAAGAATCACTTCTCGACGAGAACATAGCCGTATAATAAGTTGGAAAAATTCCGAAATTTAACAAATTGTACACATCTCATTTGCAATAAAGATGCTTCTGTTCTCAATGGAATATATAATACTGATGTTTGATTCATTTTCTTCTCTTCTTCTAAGTTTCGTTTCGCGTTGAAATTGATTTGAATTTTGATTAAGACAAATACATGTGTAAGTATGTGGATGTTTGTGCTGTTTCTGGTTGGATGCTGGTAAAATTCAGCTTATGTTATCGGCATTCGGTTTATACATGGAAACAGTAAGTATGTTGGGGAGGGAAGCATTTTTTAGAGTGGATATGAAAATATTTATACGCGTACATCTTGATTTTATTGTCGAGGGAGGACGGTTTTAACTCCAATCTTCTTTCAGTGTCGTTTTTTGGTTTTTGTTCACAAATTGGAGTGCATGAACAATCTAGAGCTTACGTACAATTCGGTCGTCACATTCATTTTTGGAATAACCCGAGATTGTTTCTGTTCATAACCTATATTTATCTTTTTGACTTTGTTCGAATTAAATGTGTTGAGTTTCAAGAATTCTGACGAAATAATGAGATTTTAAAACATCAAAATTCACTAAAAATCATACCAAGCCAAAACTTATTTTTATTTTTCATACTGGACAGTTATATTGCTTCATATAATATCACAATGAATAATAACTCGAATGATTTAATGTTATCTTCTTACATATTTCGTATACCATCTGTACATTATATTACAAAAATGAAAACGAGAGTCTTATTAAATGACCGCAGTTAGTCGCGACATTTATTCGAACGAAATGTCCGTGTCAAAATTGAAAAAAAATGTCACTAAAGTGATTTTGAGTAAACGTTACTGTGTATGTTTTTCAATTCAACTCAAAATACATCCGTTCAACATTACTGATACTCTCTCTCTCTTTCTCTTTATTCTGAATCACTTCATTTAATGGGCTTGAAATAAAAAAAGAATGCATATGCGTAAGTAGACATGAATACATTATCATTCGAGGCTGAAAATTTTCGAATAATGGATCTAAAACACCTTCCTAAGAAGATACTACAATACAAACACCCCTTTATTAAAGTTCGGGTTGTCGACGTCTCTAGCCTTATATAGTAGTACCCAAACGTTATCAATGCAAAAGAAACCACTTGCACTTGATTCATGGTCCGATATAGCGATGAATGTTTCACTATGCAAAATGATGAATTTTTCAGTGCAACATGCTATAGGGTGAAGTAAACACCCAATTTTTGACACTCTTTGGAATTTTTTCGTAACTTATTTTGCTGATTCCTAATGATCGTGTCTAAATCTATTGTTTTGGTTCAAATTTGGATGTGCTGCAACCATAAGAATCACCAAAAATGAATTTTTGCTTGGCCAACCCGGTGTTCGGTACTTGATGACAATTTTGAAAGGTTTGAGCATTCAAATTGGGAATACGACCGGACTTTTGGTTTTTTCTAGAATCTTTGTCTTCATATTAAATCCATGAAACACGATACATGGTTCGAAGACAGATTGGTTCATCTTTAGACACATGCAGAATTTGTTTTGAACTTAGCTGTCCAAAACCATTTGAGACACTTTTTCGTAAATCCAATTTGTACGCTATCGCGAATGGAAATTTTTGTGCAAATTGTGTTTGACAGTAGAGTAGGAGTCTCGCTAAGTCTCCCATGTGCATTGGTCGACAGTTTTGATTTTGTTTATGTAGCGCAATAGACGCCTGCAAGTTGTAACAAAACTTATGATACACGTGTTACTATTGTTTTTCAAACCAAGAGCTGAGTTCTCTGATATAGATCGACAACTATTTGTTGCTGCGGAGAGAGGTACTAAAAAAGTGAATAATGAAACATTAAAAACAGCATATACAATAACTGTATTATATTTTTGTGACCTTTCGACACTAATATTAAAATCAGTGTATTCGAATTTATTGTTGAAGTAAAAAGAAAGTGAAAAACACATTTATCGTCCTTTATCCTATTTCGAATGTCTTATACAAATATACGTGAAAAGTAGACGTTCTTTTGGAACTGATTGATAGAAATGCATGTTTGCGTTTATTATAAAAATATTTTGTTGTGGCGATCTCCATAAATCTTGACTACCACTTGTTTTCGCAAAAAATGGCTTATTTTATATTTCGTCGTGGAAACGTATGTAAGTTTTTTTTCCTGAACAGCCACAACCACAACATAAACATTTTAAAATCCATATTACGATCACTAATAAAATAAGATGAAAAACTGCTGGCTCAATGCCAAATCGTCTACTAGCAGCTGCACTCATTCTGCATAGAGTTATTTGGAATTGATTGTCGAATTTTGCCCGACACTCAAGCTCTTCTATAGCTGCAGATCCTTCATCTCTGAAATACATTCACATTTTTTGTTATTTATATTTGGATACATGTGTTTAAATAAAAAAATAACAACATTTTCGTTTTAATTCGATTTTAGATTTTAAAATATTCTGGGAACAAAATATGCTTAACAATTTTCACTATTTTTTTTCAACTTACATCCAGTCTCCATTGATTCCTGTTGAAGAAAAAATGTCAATAAATATTTTTATTGAGATAAGAAAAATGATGTTTTCATTATTTGTAATGAGTACACATGACGCAATCACTCAGTTTTTTAATCTTTCACTTGATTTTTACAAGAGTATACGTACCATATACGATGATGGAACATTTGCGCTAAATTGAAATAATAATAAAATAATATGTTAATTAATATTCATCGATATAAATGGATTACATAATATATATATATTATGATGATGTTAACCTTAAACCCTTATATGCCGGTGAATGAACTTTCAACCCATATTTATTTTTGTCGGTTTGATTTGTGTAAAATCATATACCACCAATATCTTCACTCTGTTCGAAAACGGTAACATTGTGTCCATGATCAAGTAAATGTTTCGCACTTGCAATGCCCGATACTCCGGCTCCAATAACACAAACATTTCTAACATTTAACTTAACCGATTTGTTTGTGTCATTAACGGGTGTTGCATTTATTTGATTTATAAGAAACAATTAAAATCGCAATATTCATCGGATGAAAGAGCAGAAATTTTGCCATTTTCAAGCCTTTTTTCACAACCTCACAATACTTATCAATGTCAATGTCTGATTTTAACGTTTGATTGATTCAAATTGAGTGATTTTTTCATTTCGAAATAGCTATGCTAAAACCCGGCAGAGTTTTTATTTGTTTCAATTAAGCGTACATAACTGATGTTAACTTAATAACCTAACGCGTTTAGTGATAAGAAATCATATATATATAAGAACATTCTAGTAAATCAAAAATGTTATCGCCAATAGAGCACCAAAAACAGCTGATTTTTACCAGATTTGAGGCATACATACGATATTTTTAATTGCTAATTTTCATTTTATTCATTTTTACAAAATATTAACTGATTGATTGACATAAATAAAACGTTTCTCACAAATAAGCAATAAAAAGTCTTGTAACACATGTGGCCCATGAGCATATATTGTCATATTTAGATAGGTTGTGACATCTTACTAAAAATTGAACCAATTTAATGTACATTTTCACATTTGCAACACTCTGATAAACGCAACTGGTCATTTGTAGTTTTTCTAACGGTAGGAGTTGAATCAGTCTAATAATTGGTGGAGAAAAACAATAATTTATTGTTATTATAGTTTTGAAGACTATAAATAGCGATGATATTATATATATATGGTATTGCCATTACTATTGTATTATTACGGAGTTCCATTCAGATAAATGTGCATCATATTATAAAAACATTACATTCACTTCAATACAATTTTGTACTCATGGAAGAAAAGATGAGACGCCATACAAGGGAGATGAAGGCTCTCTATTCGCAACAGTTATTTCAAATATTGACGTTGAAGAAGAACTGTAAAAAACCAACGGTTCCCGGTGTATACACTGGGTAGAAATATCTCCTCAGTAATTTTTTGGCATTTTTTCAATGAAACATTCCTTTTATTCACAGAAAGTCAATCAATACTGGATATTTACGTTTTATTTATGATCTTTTACACAATTTGTCGAAAATAACAAAGAAAAATAGACTTTTTTGAATTAATAAAAATTGAAAATATCAGAGATTATGAATAATATGCTGATTATTGTTGTGAAATTCAATTAGTTGAAAGTTTCAACAACGTTTGGGTCGGGGACCCGTTGTGACCTCTGATTAAAGAAAATTCATTCACTTTTTTAAAAACTACATTATTGTGTTTTTCTAGACTAACAAAACTAAGGTTATGATTTTGACAACACCGTGTTGTAAATGCTTACATTCCAACGAATGTTGTGAAGTAGCCAACAATTGTTGTCATTGTGCGTATTCAATGGCATATATTATATGTATTCACTGGATCATGTTACACAAATGGATCATGGCTATTCACTGGCTCATCATTCGATAAAATGATTTAAACGCCCATTAATATTAATAATGAAAAGAGAGAGAAACAAACGAATACCGTCCACTGAGTGTCACTGGATCATTGACTGAACCTATTATTTTTGGTGTGAAAGAACTGACAGTACGATTACCGCCAGTATTATAGTTTGACTTAGTATAAGTTTCTGCAACAACATTACAATTGTGCATCTCATTCTCTTGAACGCTGGACAAAACAAATCTTGATTTTATAATCATCAACGTTCGTTTTGCAAGTTTCATTTTCTTTCTGTTGAATTCATTTGCTGGGATTTGCTTGAATTCGGCCAGAATACGTTCACTCTTATTTCGTTCCGACATAAATTATTATTTTGATTTGATATTCATCAATTTTGCATTCAATAGTGTGTTCTCTCTACTTCTCTTTCGTCTATTTTGAATTCTATTACTCGATTTCCCGTGGCGTTCAGCGTGCGTTTTGTCTTTTATGTTCTCTCTTCATCGTCCGTATCATTAATTTAAATTTGACCATGAATTTTGTGTGCTTTTTGACTGCAATAATTTAATCAAGTGTTGCTGGTCAAGGTTAAAAACCAATTGAATTTGTCGATTCGGGCGGCGACACAATCATATTCTATGTGAAATGAAACCCAAAGCTGCCCAAAAAATGAACTTTGACGATCGACTGACTGTTTAATCAGCAATCAGTTATTTGGTTAAAATAAAAATGATGAGATGTGCCTTGGTGTTTTATGTTATGCTCAATCTTTACACACTTTTTAGGGGTCAAAATGTTAATTATTTTGATTGGTTAAATTCAATTGATAAAAAGATGACCAATTTAAAAGTATCATTTCCTTTTTAGTGTTTTGTGGCCATTTCGATGTTAGTTTGCTATCGATTTATTTAAGATAATAACATGTGGCACGGTGTGGCATTTGTGACCTTGAATGGACGTGTAGGCTGTGCGCATACACAAACATAGCGGTTTTTTTTTCTTCTCTTTTTTATATAAAGCATAACTGAGTACATCAATTTGATTCGCACAATACTCCTAGATGTAGGATACAATCGGCTGATCACCGATTTATCTGAATTAATTGATCAACAGAAACCAGAAAGATAAAGAATTCTTATCTCAAGGCCCTATGCTCAACTAGGAGTTAAAGGAAAAAAAAAATACTCCTAGCATTTATTTACTAGCGGCTTCTCGCTCGCTTGCTATAACACACAAAAACTATTGGTAGTAGTAGTTAAAAATGTCGTTTTTTTTTTGTAAAAATACAACATTATGCGTGTCATTACTTTGACAGTGACAATTAGTGTATCTTA